TTTTTTTTTTTGGATTTTCTCGTCATCTTTTCAGACAATGAAATGACAAACTTGTCGTAAGAAACAACCTTAAAGTTGGACGACGATAGTTTCACAACGACAAATAATTTTTAAACCACAAGCGACACATACAATTATAAACGACAGCAAAGACTGAAACTAAGAACAACTTTAGACCATAAACGCATGTAAACGACATTATTAACGCATAATAAACATATAGCAAGCTTGAAAGTTATTGGCATTGCCAACAATGAGAAGCAGCAACAAAGTTCCAACATATAAACCCACTATTTTATTGATGTTGTGTTCAAACTAGCCAGCTTCAACTTATTCAAAAACCTACTCCCCTGTGCATGCCAATTGTCAAAGAGCATTTCAGAATTTGCTCCTTTTTAAGGTCCATTCTTAATCAAGTTTTTCAGCTTTTCATTGGCAATGACAAGTTCTTCGGCTATTCCCGGTTCATTAGCAGAATGTCCTGCATCTGACACAACCTGTTAAGAAATGGCAGGGTTCAATTTTTTGCCCATAACAGGAAAAAAAATTTATCTGAAAAATGAGATGGGAGAAAAATAGTAATATGTATGCTTCCTATGGCTCTAGTTGTTCCACATGTAAATGATGATAAACAGTAAAAAACGTAAGATGAGTGTAAAACGTTTTCAAATATTCAATCACCTTAAAATCTGCCTCTGGCCACACTTTGTGGATATCCCAAGCTGACATCATAGGGCAGCATACATCATATCTTCCCTGCAAAGACAATTATCAGAATTTCTCGCTCAAGGTGTGTTGCGCTTTCTGGGAGAAGTTCTACTTGTGGCAAAAGGAGAAGCATAAGCTATCCTTAGAGAGAGAAAAGTAGAAGCAAAGTCAATGCTAAAATATCTAGCTTCTCAAAACACTGTCCAAGTGCACTGGTGTCTATGCAAAATACTTTAATGAAATTTTAGTGAAGACACTTCTTGCGTCTTGTTATGTGCAAAGAGCTTTTGGGGCCTCCAAAAGCAATACTGAATTGGCACTAAGAAATCAGCCACACAATGAACATAAAAGTTTGTATGTCACTAGTCTAGAATATAATGATCCAGAAAGATTAAAATTCTAAGTGAAAATACAGAAAACATAAAAGTTTGTATGTCACTAGTCTAGATCCGACTCTAGAATATAATGATCCAGAAAGATTAAAATTCTAAGTGAAAATACAGAGAGCAAATGTTGAAAAGGGGATACGAACCTGTACTATTGTGGTGTTTATATGTCGTATTTTATCGACATTATCCAACAGATATGAATCTGAAGGAAAGAATCCCTTGTTCAAGAAATAATGATTCTCTATCCTCGCAAATGCCTAGTACAGCAAAACAATCAGTACATGTAAAGCGTCAGTCATCTTAAAATATTTAAAATCAAATCCTGAAACCAGAAATAATATAATAACATAGATAAGTTATCCAGCTTATAGCTAATAATAGTAGTCATGATATACCAATGAAAACTTATCATCATCCCCTTTCTTAATGTTCTCTTCATTTGGAAGGAGATGGGCGGTCATCATTTCCCATTTGGTCCATGCCCTAGCGGCTGCATACTAAGAAATTGGAAGAGAATTAAGAAAAGAATGTATTACTTCCAAATTCCAATTCAACAGTAAATCAAACATCTCACACCAACCAATTCAGAAAAATAACACATCGGAGAACTTGTCACTTAAACTCAAAAAAAAAAAAAAAAAAAGTATTTGATAGCAATGAGCATACCATCCTTTTTTATATCATATATCATAAACCTAAAAACCATACTTCTCTTGCCATCAATCATTAAGGACAAATCTTAAAGCCTAAAAAGTTTACCTATAAGATGGTTCATGTGCAAAAACCAGCAAAAGTCTTACTTGTGTTTCCAAGTCGTCAGAATTCAATCTCTTGCTGTAAGCATCAACGAAACATCCTCTCTCATTTTCTGGAATAAGATCTCTAAATGGTTCCCAAGCTGTAATTGATAAGAATTTTCACTCCCATTAGCCATTTATAATACCTTTTTCACTTTAAAATTCACAAAATATTCCTACTGGAGTAACAAACAATTCATTGTCAAACTCACCATCAGGGTAAATAGCAGAAGCACCACCCTCATAAAACCAATCAATCTCTTTCTTTCTCAGGAGAAAAATCCCTCTAAGGACCAACCCAGTTACCTTACAACCACAATATAGGATAATGTTATAAACCTGTATCAGACAGAAAGCAATTTCCAAAACTACTAAAGGAAAGAAATTAAAAACAAAAGACCCCCATTTTTTTCTTAAACCAGACTAAGTTATGTACCTTATCTGGGTGTGATTGGCTATATGCAAGGGCAAGTGTACTTCCCCATGACCCACCAAAAACCTACATAAGCACAGAGAGAAAATAAAACGCGTTTCAATCAGAAATTAGAAACTTATAAGTCTCCTTCAAGCTAGAAATTCTGACCTGCCATTCAGGAATTTTCAAGTGTTCCCTAAGCTTTTCAATATCATCAATGAGATCCCATGTGGTGTTTTCTTCCAAACAAGCATGGGGTGTACTTTTTCCTGCACCTCGCTAGAAAAAAAAAAAAAAAAATTTTCAATCACAATGTAGAATTCAAGGTATTATCCAGATGGGAAAAAATTACCAAAGAATTCAGAATAACCTGATCAAATAAAATAATTCTGTAAAAATCAGGATCAAAGAATCTTCTATTATTAGGTGAAGTCCCTCCTCCTGGACCCCCATGAAGAAAGACAACAGGCTGTAAATCAAATTTTAGATTTATCAAATGATAAACCAAAATAAACAACACAATTCAATTACACATCATAGAACTTTTCATTACTTAACCTTATTTAAAAAATAAAAATAAAAAAAAATAAAAACACTCACATGGCCAATTGGATTCCCTGATTGCTCCCAATAGATAGAATGAAGATCGGAAACCTTCAAGAATCCAGAACTATAAAAATCTATGATTGGGTAAAGGTTTCTATTCAACTCCAAATTTTCCTTTCCCGATTCCATCGAATCTCTTAAACTCTTATAATCAATATATTGCGCACGCAAAGCGAAACTCTTTTTCCCTGCATTTACCAACCAAAAAAGCTCACATCTTTCACCATATATATATATATATATATATATATATATATAATCGAACTACACACGTTTGGTTACTAGTTCTAAAACTCAAACTTTGATAATCTTGCCAATTCGTATTTCAGAGTTGATCAACAAAGAGATTGAATAAATAAATTAGGATCGTTATTTTGAGTAAATTACGCAGAGAAAGAGAGAAATACCTGAGACAGTGAACTGGGGAAGTGAAGGAGAAGGAGAAGGAGAAGGAGAAGAAAAAGGAGGAGAAAATAGGGGTTGAGAAGAGAGAAAAGTGGAGTTTGGCATATAAAGTGACCTCATTTTTGGAGCACATATCTACTTAGAAGTAGTAGTAGTAACGACATTGCGATTCATTCTATGTGGAAAGATTCTCTCCTCTCTCTCCTTTTTAATTTCCTATGAATCCTTTTTTTTTTTTTTGGGGTATTTGATTTTCATTTTATGTATTCGATTCCTTTAATTTTAAAACTACAAAGTCTATCCAAAAATATGCTCTTTAGCTGAGAACCATTCTGATTCTCTGTAATCTCTAGCTTCCACTACATTTAAAAAGAAAAAAAAAATGGTAAGAAAGCATCCAAACAATTATTTTCATAGTAACAGAAAAGGACAAAAAGAAAAACAAACCAACTAAATGCAATTTTAAGAGAACGGCCAGCACATTCCTTGTAATAGAAATCCCGTGTTGGACAAAGTTTTTTTTTTTTTTTTTTTTCCTTTAAAAAAAAAAAAAAAGAAAAGGCAACAGGGTTTTTCCTATAAGTCAGAGAAGGCTTATTGATATATGCCAGAGAAGCTTTCTCAAAAGTTCCTTGTGAATTTATATCCGTACAAATACTTAGCATTGAATATAAGTTCAAGCTCATGCTTTTGAAAGAAACAGAAATAGTACATATACAGCCATTCCTTAAAAAAAAAAAAAAAAAAAAAAAAAAAAAAAAAAAAAAAAAAAATATTTGTCTTTTAAGTCGTTGAAAGCTCTCTACTTGAGCCAAAAAAAAAAGAAGAAGCAATATAACTCTGTTTCTTACAATCAGAGATCTAAAGGATACAACTTGTTTGACTGTTTCTAAACCTTATTGCTCTTCACAAGCTGTGTAGACCCAACTTTGATGTCCTGTCTATAATAACATTACTATTGCTTCTCTTGTGTCACGCCAAAACTTCTAATTCCATCTTGGCTATTTTCCGCCTCTTTAACAACAGTTATGCCTGTGAGTTTGCAAGGCTCGGCCTCTTCCAACAGATGGACTACCGTCCTCATGGAAGGCCTCAAACCAGGAACCTGAGAAGTGCAATGAATCGCGATTTTCAACACTTTGAATGCATCTTCCTTTTGAGCATCTGAAATATTTGAGTCCACCAAACCAAGCACATCATTCTCTTGGCTCCTGAATTTGTTGTAAACCCAGTTCACTATGTCCTTGTTCTCTCCGAACTCGGGCTCCACCGGCCTCTTCCCGGTCACCAATTCCATCAACACCACTCCGAAGCTGTAAACATCGCTCTTCTCGTTCACCTTGTATGTGTAAGCATACTCTGAACCACCAAAACAATGGCCAAAAAAATAAGCCTTCCAAACCAAAAAAAAAACATTAACAGCAAACCAACAAAATATATAGTTATATTCATATTTGTATACACACGTGACATTCTGGTGTGATCTGACGTTTAAAAACGCGCAAATAATTTATAATTAATTGAAATAAAAACAGGAATATAATTTACCAGGAGCTATGTAACCAAGTGTGCCAGCAATGGCATGGGTCCAATCCCCACCAGCATGAACAATCTTAGCAAGTCCAAAATCAGCAATCCTTGGCTTCCAATTCCCATCCAAAAGAATATTACTAGACTTAACATCCCTATGTATAACTGGCCGATCACACCCATGGTGAAGATATTCCAAACCCTTTGCAGCCCCAGCAGCAACCTCGTACCTAACCTCCCACCCCATCTCCATCTTCTGACACGTGTGCAGTCGGTCCCACAAGCTCCCATTAGGCAAGTACTCGTAAACCAGTAGGTTACTATCGTCACTTGTGATGCTACAGTAAAGCTTCACCACATTGACATGCCTGATCGAGCTCAAAGTCGCCACCTCGGCGTCGTACTCCGGCGATGGGGACTTACTCCTCTTCAAAATCGCGGCGGTGCTCCGGCAACTCCTCCGGTGTCCGGCATCCGACGGGGTCCAAATGTGCTTCACTGCTAGCTCTTTCCCATCTCTTAGTACTACTTTATACACATTTCCTGACCCTCCTTTGCCTATCAGATTCTCTGGCTTGATTGAGTCTAAAACCTCCTCCTCTGAGAAGCTTAGAACATGGTACGACTTCATGTTCCAAGAATTAGTCTTCAATGGGTGCGAAAGAGCGTGGTTTTTCCGTAACTTAAGGAGCAAGAAACAACCGAGTGCTATGAGAAGCACAAGTAGTAAAGATATAAAACAGGATAGTAATGTTCTTAGCTGACTAGAATTGCTCGATTTCGACAAGCAACGTCGAAAACCTTCAAGATTATTGTCGCTGCACAAGCCCGGATTTCCCACGAAGCTGTCCTTAAAGGCTGAAATTGACAGAGAATCAGGAATTTCACCGGTCAAGCGGTTGTTGGAAAGATCAAGAATGCTGAGCTTGAGCGAGGACAAAGTGGAAGGGATTTCGCCGTAGAGTTGGTTGGATGAGATGTTCAAAGAGTTAAGATTAGGCAAAGAGCCAACACTTGGAGGGATTTTTCCAGAAAGAGAATTACGAGCAAGGTTTATTTGAGAAACCGAAACACATGAACCTAAAGACTCCGGTATCAAACCAGAAAACTGATTGTTGTCCAAGTAAAGATTACTAAGCTTAGCCAATTTCCCTATTGTCCCCGGGATTGGACCCGAAAACCGATTGAAACTGAGCTGAATCGAGACTAAAGAGGAAGCTCCAGAGATCTCATCAGGCAACTCACCCGAAAACCGGTTGTTATGCAGCACCAGCTGTCCCAAAGACTTTGCCTTGGCTATATCAGCAGTGACCGGACCTTCAAAATCGTTCATGGAAAGATCAATCCTCACAAGTTTTGGCAAGCTCCATATTTTCGCCGGAACAACACCGGAAAGCGAGTTGTTGTTAACAAGAACACGTTTCAAAGACTCGCAACTCGCGTAGCTTTCGGGAATCTCTCCGGTGAGCTTGTTCTGCAACACGAGAAGATCAGTCATTCTGTTTCCTTTACACATATCAGGAGGAATCGGACCCGTCAGAAAATTCTCAGACAAATCTATGAATTCCATGCCATTCGGAGATCCGAGCTTCTGTGGAATCTTCCCTGTCACTCTGTTTCTGTAAAGCGATAGCTCAAACAGGTTCTCAAACTCACCAATCTCCTCTGGAATGTCTCCAATAAATTGGTTCTCGAAGAGCTGAAGAGACTCGAGCTTTGTCAAGAACTTCAGCTCCGACAAATCACCTTCTAGAAGATTCTGTGACGCGTCGAAGTTGACAAGATTCGTTAAGTTTCCAAAACCTTTCGGAAGTTTTCCGGTGAAAGAGTTATTATAAAGCTCGAGTTGCCATAAGTTCTTGAGCTTCCCAATGCTTGGCGGGATTTCGCCGGTTAATCTGTTATCCGAAAGCTCGAGATTTTCGAGCAGAGTAAGATTTCCGATATCTTCTGGAACCTTCCCAGTGAGGCTACAATTGGTGAGATAAAGCCAATAAAGCTTTTCAAACTTTACAACTTCTGCAGGAAATGGACTTGGATCAAATGGATTGTCACCGAGGCTCAAGAAAGTTAAATTCGTTAGATTTTCGAGCGATTTCCATGGAAAAGAACCGGAGAATCCAGTGGCGTTTAGATTCAAGAACGTCAATTCAGAGAAAGAGGACAAGTCCGGGAATTTCCCGGAGAAAGAATTGAATCCCAAATCCAGGTGCTTCAAACGAGTACAGTTCTTCAAGTGATCCGTGATCGTCCCGTGCAAGGAATTCGAGCTTAGAGAGATCTTTTCGAGAGATTGAAGCGAACATATCGCGTCCAAAGGAATAACACCGGAGAGATTTCTACCAGAAAGATCGATCTCCGTCACGGATCCTTCAGAGTTGCAGCCAATTCCGATGAAGTTGCAGACGGGATTGTCCTCTTTCCATGAGCTGAAAACGTCGCTCGTCTTTGATTCCGGTAAGAGAGCGGTTTTGAGCCTCATTAATGGCTGAAGCTCGTCTCCCGAGGAAAGACGGAAGAAGAGAGAGATCATGATCGCCGTCGTCAGAAGCCATCGCCGGCGACAATTTACGACCGACATGCCAGCCTCGGAAGTTTTTTTTTTTTTTTTTTGGGTGGTGGTGGGAAAAGGTTTATGTCTGTTGAGTGTGAAGAGAATGGTGGGTTTGAATTTGAGTTCGCATTCATGAATTGATTGGTGTGATTTTCACGTGTCGTTTTTCTTTTTTTTTTTTTTTGGCATGAAAATTTAGCCAGGCAACGTGATTTTATTTTGGCGGTGGCTTGTCATTATCCTTTCTTAAATAAAAGGTTACTTACGTGTTTCTAGTGGGGTGAACGTGCTTAAAATTCAGATTTTTTTTTTCACAAATTAAGGCTCTGTTTATTTCGCCGATTCGAATTTTATTACAGTAAAAAAATTTTAAAAATAGTCACATTTAACTTTTTTATTACAGTAAAAAATTCTCAAAAAAATCATATCTCAACTTAAATTACAAACTCAAATCAACAAAGTGAACGGAGCTTTTAAAAAAATAATTATAAGTTGCTTTTTCTCATGTATATCTCAACTCAAATTATAAACTCAAATCAATAAAGTGAACGGAGCTTTTAAAAAAATAATTATAAGTTGCTTTTTCTCATGTATTGACAATAATTATTTTGCTTAACTTTTCTACACGTTCAATATAAAACGGGACAAAAATGTAAGTGGTAGACTTCAAATTGTATTACCCTTTGGACTGGGAAGGTGAAAAAAAATAATTACAAAATCAAGCATGCTTTGAATTGATGCGAGAAAGATGAATAATCAAACGTAAACGACAAAACACTCATCTAAGTCCACATAGTACTGCTGTGAAAGCATTGTACATGGATATTATTAATTGCAGTTTTGTGTGACGAAATGAATTTTCTACTATGTATATTCAAGTATGTGTTTATAAATGCATAATTCCTAATCTTCTTGAATTTTTTGTAACCAACCAAGGACAAAATTAACGCTTAATTCATTTAGGGAGACAATTGGGTCAATGTTTATACGTACAAAGATGGAAAGAATCCACAAACAAACGAGTCCTATCAAATCTCCCCCTAGTGATGGTTTGCTTTTTTCAGGTCATATTCACAAGTGTAAGGAATTGACTTCTTGACGTGGGAAAAGGATGAGTTATTGGGCCGCCAAGATTGACTGCGGCGTTTTCGCTGGCACGTTTACATCCAAGTTGCCACGTCACAGAGACGGAAGAATTTACTTGGAAAGTGAAAAGCATCTCTCATCACCCGTTTAAATTTAAAATTTGAGTTTTGTTATAATAAAAAATTCTCAAAAATAGTTATATTTTAATTTTTTTACTATAATCTCCTTGTACATTTTACCGATTCGAGTTTTGTTACAATAAAAAATTTTTAAAAATAGTAACATCTAATTTTTTTGATACAGTAAAAGGCTCTCACATAAAGTCACATCTTAACTCGAATTAAAAACTCGAATCAACGAACTAAACGAACGAAGTCATATCTCAACTCGAATCAGTAAATTAAATAAGGAGTTTATATCCCTCTTTTCTTCTCTTTTTTCGTGTCCTTTCGATAATAACATAACCTATTATGATTTTTTAATAAACATGATAAGAAATTTTAATTTATTTAATATTTTAATCGACGTATCGTAATATTATTAGAGACATATGAAAGGACACAACAATAAAGAGGCATAGAAATTAATTTCCTTCTATAGTATGATGATCGTCATCGGTTTACTTCTACCATATGATGTAATTTAATCTTCTTTCTTTTTTTTTTATAACCTAAGATTTTAATAGTCTAATTTATAAGTATCCACGTTCAAATTATATAGTTAGTGATACAAACATGTTACAATCACAAAACAAATTTTTGAAAACTTAATTCTATGATTAGCACAAGAGAACCTATTGATAGTTAAAAAGAACATGTCTTATTAAAATATATATATGTTTTTTTTTTAAGAAACCTATTTTCTAACAATAAAAAAAAAAAAAACCTAGTTTACTCTTTGCCATTTTTTTTTAATCAAATTAACTCACTTTATGCAAGAAAAAGAAAAACACACCTAGTTTACTCTTTGCCATTTTTTTTTTAATCAAATTAACTCACTTTATGCAAGAAAAAGAAAAACACAAGTATTAACAAGAATTAGAAAATCCCACTAAAATTATGGGTATTGAAATAAATATGCGCTCTTTTTTTCCCTTGTTTTTGCAAATAACTAGGTGTCAAATTATGTGGGATAATCCCATATAGAATCTTGGACGTAATAGTACATGATCTTTTATCAAAAAAATTCCCTCTGAATTAATTATATGAGACATGATCACGCAATAATCCAAAAAATCATGTCATGTGTTTGCGTTTATACGGGTTTCACCAACCAAATTAGGTGGGGCTTCTTTATTTTGAAAAAAAAAAAAAAAAGTGAGCTTTTAATATAATGTAAATACCACAACTTAGTATATGCTCGTTTTTTGTTCTTTATAAACTTATAACATAAATTTATGTTACTATGGAAGGCTAATACGTTTTCTAGTAAATACCATTTCGTGATTACAAACGTTGACAGTGCTTTTAATAATGCAATAAAAGCTGCTGCGTAGATAAAGATATCTAAATTAATGTCACGCTGATAAATTCTATAGCATCATTTATAACGGATGTTTGTCTCTATGTAACGACATTATTATATATCATAAAAATAACAATCAGAAAGATTATGATTCTTCTTTATGAGATATTTAGAATAAAGTATCTGAGATAATATTATTACATTTTTCGTAAAATAATAATATCGCAGTAATGACTAATGAGACTTTCAAAGCTGTGCAGCACTAGACAGAATAAATCTATTCCCGTCATGAATGTACGGATAGGCAACAGAAAGTGCATGCAAATTGCTTTACGCATAATTTCCTTTGATCATAGCATCATTACACCTTTAGACATATATATCTATATATATATATATATAGATATCATAACATGCCTTTGTTTATGAAAAATAACATTGAACCTTTTGTTATAAGTACGTGCGATAAGAGAAATTATACTAAAACTTGAAAAACATTTTTTTTTTCTTTTTATGAAAGGTGAAATGTCTGTTTTTAGTCGGTGTCACAAAAAGTGTTATAACACTTGTTGTAATACTGATGATAGATACGTGCAGATGGATATATCTTTTTATGAAAGGTGAAATGTCTGTTTTTAGTCGGTGTCACAAAAAGTATTATAACACTTGTTGTAATACTGATGATAGATACGTGCAGATGGATATATTTTTTCTTTGATTCAGCTGCAACAAATTATAAGTGTAAAAAGATCAACAGAAACATAAAAGACACAAGGAACTGATATCACAGTTCGGTGCGCATACCTACATCTGCGGGGCTACGCCCAAACAGTGAACAATCCACTAAGATCAAAGGATTACAAACACTAATCAGACTTATACACCCAAAGACTCCCTCCTTGATGTTGTCGCCGCTGTGTATAATCTTTTAGATACTTTGTCCAGCGAGTACCGCTCGTCTTTGAAGGCTTTCTCCCAAAAGCAATATGTTTTCCTCCTGAAAAATCACCTTTTTCTATTTTCTCTTAAAGAACATCAAAGCAGCTCTTTCTGCATAATATTTTCACACTCAAAAGCCATACTACGTTCATGGCTGCAAACCAAATATATACACCTCAAATTGGTCTATAATCTCATCTATTATTTCACCAAAATCACCATAAATAAAGCAACTTCTCTTCTAAAGATTCTTCCCATACATAGAGCCCATCAATTAGCCACCAAAAGTCAACCAAATCAGCTCCATAAACTTATTTCTTTTTATTGAGAAAATCATCTCAAATCCGGTACAAATAGCCAAAAATAGAGTCACTATAGTAGTCCACAATCTTACTAATTTTATTGTTAAATTTACAACATTTTACCAATAAATTTACCAACTAATAGTACTAACAAAAGAAAAACTTTAGAGATCCTTTAGACCTTAAAAAAGTTAGAATTTGCTTTTGAATACTTTCTCTATTTCCTTTCTTATAAAATGAAGAAGAGAGGCCAGTATTCAGTGTAACAAAGGTTGTTAAAATGATCTGAATTGCTAAAAAACTGCATAACTTTAATGGTGCAGATCGATTAAAAGTGGTTGATTAAAAATTTTATACGCATGTTATTCTGCCCATATAACACACGAGAATGACAATATGGAAAAGAACATCCCAGACGCCAAAGTCAAACGTGATGGACTTGAATTTCATACTCGAAACTTTTTGTGCAAAATTCAGTGCATCCCGATTTAGTCTTCATTTTTCTTTTTATATTTTTATTTCTAAAAAAGAAGAGACGAGGATTTATGTTTTTACATGATTTAAGTTGTATACGTGAAAAGAATAGTATAATTAAAAATTTAATTTAATTTTTTTAAAAATACTATAATAATATTATTTATAGTGTGTTTAATTGATAAATTTATATCATAATTTAAATCATAATTCATAATTTACTATAATATTTTTTTTTTTAAAAATATACATAAATTAAAAATAATTTTAAATATATTAACCAAACGCTCATTATTTGAGTTGAGTTATAATACATCAAGCTCACAGTCAGAAATTCTTATAAAAATATAGTCCAGAGTCAAACCAAGACCTAATGCTGTGGGCCCACAGTTCAACAACTCAATGGACTATTATTAGTTTGTGAGGAAGCAGAGTGGGAAAGAGAAGAAAAATAAAGGAGAAAAATCTTGCATGCAGATTTGTATGTCTAATCATTCTCCAATAACTTGTTTGGCCTTTAGGAAATTTCAATTGGCCTTAGCCCTACATAAACTTCTGGTTGTTTTGCCCTCTGTAGTAGTATTCCAATATCTTTTATATTGGGTTTGTGGAGAAGATGACTTCAGTTTGCAAGATGTGCTTAATCGGTTACTTGTAAGTGGGAAGTTCTACAGTGCCGAGAGTAAACTTTGGGATTTTAATGATGAGGAACCGTTTGTTTCATCCGTTCTAGTTGAGAGCTTAAATTAAAAAGTAAATTTATATGAGAGAAAACATTATATATATAAAAAATTGAATTGTGATTCGATCTAGTGAAGTAAACGGAGCCTGAATATTCGATTAAATTATGCATTTCAATCACAACCCTTAAAACAAAAAATAAACAAAATAAAAATTTACCTCAAATTTAGACCAAAATCAAAGACTTTTACAAAGCTAAGTAAATTCTAAACTACATACGAAC